ACCATTCTTCGTGTCTCCTAGTTTCATAATATTAGCATTAACCTTGATTCCTAACTCTCACTTATTCCACAGAGTCCACTTATCCACAGTTGCCAAATCTTGCTATTCATTGCTTCTCAATATCTTTCATCCAACCCTTTCTCTCTATCCACACAGCTCCTGCTTTAATTCATGCCCTCTTGCCTAGATTATTCCAACAGCCTCCTCATTGGCTTCCCCAAATCAAGTCTCTCCCCATGCCAGTCTGTCTTTCACACCACTGCTAAAATAATCTTCCTTAAATAGGTCTGAAAGGTCATTCTCTCACTCAGTAATCTACAATGTCTCCCCACTGCCTCTAGGATACAATATGAATTCCTCTACTTAACTTTCAAAGCCCTTTAGAACCTTACCCCAACCTACCCTTCTATCCTCACTATACATTATCCCTCTGCCCTCTTCCATCCAACCCAATTTGTCTTTTCTCTGTTCCTCTTACACCATACGTCATCTCTCATCTCCACACCTTTGCATTGGCCATGACTGGAACGCACAATTTTCTTACCTCCCCCTGATGAAACCCCTCTCTTCCTTCAAGACCCAGCTCCAGCATTACTTTCTATATGAAACCTTTCCTGATCCCTCCTACTAGTGATTCCTTCCCCTTACTACCTTGAATTGATTTGTATTTACTCTCTTCAGATGTTTTTTGTAGATATATATGTGTGTACATACATACACATATATATACATATATACATACACACACATAAAAATATGTTGTTTCCCCATTTAAAATTATCTCCTTGAGAGCAAGGATTGTTTCATACTTTGTATTTGTATCCCCAGTGCCTAAGTCAGTGCCTGGCACATGGTAGTGCACAGTCTAGCTCAATTTCTGTCCAATTATAAATCTAAATAGCCTAATATTTGTTGACCAAATTCCTCCCGCCTGAGCCACTCATTCCCCGGGTGGTCTTATTCACTTTCAGGCCACTAGGAGACCATTTAGTGTTCTGTAATAGCATCACAAGAAATGATCACCTAATGAACCAATGCACCCAGGCTTGATTGTCTTTTTAGGGTAAAAAGCACTAAGTAAATCTAAGGAGTAAAAGCCTAAGAGAAAAATGAAAGAAATTGGGGTCATTTAGTCTAGAGATGAGAGGGGTAAGTGGGGAGCAAATGAGAACTTTCCAAGTTCTTAGGATAAATTTTTTTAAAGTAAAGAACTTAGGAAGAGTAAAACTTTTTTTAAAATCTCTACTGCAAAGAGAACCTGGACTTGCATCAGAAGATATGCAAAGCTCTATATAAAGAACTTTCCAGGGCAGTTGTCAACTGAAATGGTCAGTCAAAGAGTAAGGACCTAGAATCTTTAAAAATAGCACAGACTTATATCCAGCTAGTTAAAATCTGTGAGGCACACAGAAGAGAAAGGAAAAGATAACCTCCAAGAATAAGAATTCCTTTTTTAAATTCAATTTTATTTTTTTCAATTAAGAAGCAATTATTTTCTCTCTCCCACCTTCCTCCTCCAATGAACGAAAAGAAAAAGAAAACCCTCTCAGCAAACATGCATAGACAAAGCAAATCCCCACATTGACCATGTCCCAAAAGGCATGTATCATTCTGCATCTTGAATCCATTACTTTTTCTGTCAGGGAGTAGATAGCATACTGCATCTTCTGTCCTGTGGCACTTTGTCATTACATTGATCAGAGTTCTCAAGTCTTTCAAAGTTGATTTTGTTTATGATGTTTGTTATTGTGAAAAAGTATACTAGTTCTATTCATGTCACTTTGCATCAGTTCATATTGATCTTTCCAGTTTTCTCTGAAACTATTCATTTTGTCATTTTTCTTGACAATAACATTCCATTACATTCATACACTACAATTTAGTTATTATCTAGTCAATGAGCACCCTTTTTAGCTCAAGAGTAAGAATTCTAAAGCTATGACCTTAAACAGGCCATTGTGTTACTTGCAGTTCCAAGTTGAGCTCCTGCCTCCAACCTGTCCAGTCTTGGACAGGGATTGATTAATTGCTGCAGCACAGTAAAAACTATGCAAACCCCAGAGGCCCTTGGGGTTTCTCAGAATGGAAAGAGAAAAGTCACTCCTTGAAATAGCATCCTTCTAGCATCAGAGTTAGAAAGGGAACCTGGAAGGTCAGGAAGCTGCTTTGGCTATTGGATATTACTCTTAGTACTCTTCACCCAATTAAGATGCCTTTAGTGGAAAAGGTGGCAGGGAAACTGATCACATATTAATTTTCTAGAGAGGGGAATGAGAGAGTATTGGAGTATAAATGCAGAACCAGAAGAAGACTCAGTGGTAATCTAGTCCACCCCTTCCCCCCCAACACATAATTCTACAGTTGAGGAAAAAGGCCCAAGAGGTCTTACTCATGTGCCCAAGGGTACAAATAGGTAAGATGCAGCAGCATCAGCATTAGGACCAATTTAGTGCTTTCAGGTTTGCAATCTGCTTTACATACGTGATCTCACTTGATCTTCACACTAACCCTGTGAAGTACATCAATTGAAAAGAGGGACTATTAGAAACCTTTGTCCCTAGAATCTAGCATCTAGTAGTAGGTGCTCATGTGTTTCCTGAATGGAATTAAATGATTATTTCTATTTTACAGATAAGGAAACTGAGGATCAGAAAAGTTAAATTACCTCCAGCCACAAAATTAGTAAGGATAAGAGATGTGAAGCGGGGCACTCCTGACTCATGCCCTGAACTCTTTCCATCACACCAAGCAGCTTCTCTGAGGTGTGGTTTACCACCAAGGTTTCTCCAACTGAGGAAGGCCCATAGGAATAGCTGGGAGATTCAATCCCTTACAGACGCCACACAATCCTGGGAAGAATGAAGGTTCACAAACACATTCACTCAGTGACTCACACATAGGCAAATAGATGTGATGCACTCGAGGACAATGAAACGTTAGTGCAATCCTAGAGTCTCCATAATACACTCTCATCATCATTAGGCTACCCACAGGCAGAGACCACACAAACCCTCATGAACACGGGCAACTAGGATTCGAGGAGGAGAGGGCAAGAACATCTGGGGAAATAACGGAGGGAAAGAGAACAGAGAAGGAATATAGAAGGGCTAAGGTGAGGAGGAAGGCAAAGAGAGAGAAGGCGGTTAAAATGGCCTTCCTCCGTGGATCTGGGCTGGGAGAGAAGGAAGACGAGGCTTGCTCCTAATGGAATCCCGTGTCCTCCTGATCCTCCTCCAAACCTGGCCAAGAGCCTACTTCATTGGGAATCTGGAGCTGTATGAGGACCACCCAGCAGAATGGAGAAGCCAGCCAGAAGCTACGTTGGTTTCGTTCTAGTAGGGAAGGGAAGTAGAGGAAGGGAATGGGAGTAAGGAAGCTTAGGTAGCAGTGGTCGGACTCCCAAGGACTCCCAAGGGAGCGCTATACAATACACCCCTTTGGGACCTGACGATATCTAACTCGACAAGTAAACCGTAACAAGCGGAAACCTGGCCCACGGCCCAAGCAGCAAACTAGAGAAGGACAAGAGGCTCAACCAGGAGGACTCCGAGATCCCCAACGCCTCAGCTGAATCAGGGTGAGATCCCCCAAAGGGATCGTCAGTCTTCGACATTACAGGAAAGTCTGTCGGTCTCTCTTCCCTCTCCTCTCCCTCTCTCTCCTCTCCTCTCCTCTCCTCTCCTCTCCTCTCCTCTCCTCTCCTCTCCTCTCTCTCCTCCTCTCCTCTCCTCCTCTCCTCTCCTCTCTCTCTCTCTCTCTCTCTCTCTCTCTCTTCTCTCTCTCTCTCTCTCTCTCTCTCTCTCTCTTTCTCTCTCTCTGTCTTTCCATGTGTGCTGCACAAAAGCCTAAGCTCCTGAAGTTTACAGCCTAAGGCTGACGATTCTGGTGGGGACGGAAATTGGATGCTCTAACAACACGGAACACATGGAACCAACATATGCATTAAATGAATAAGTGCTGTGTGCACGCTGCGGGGCGGGCTACGGGAGAAGGGAGTCTAGAGTTGGGGGAGAGACAGGGCTGAGCTCCAAGTGCCTTCAAGTGAGGGAACTGGGCTTCCTAGAAACTCTGAAATCCACTTTACACGGAGGGAAACTGAGGCACGGGAGCCCGAGCTGGGCTCCCATTCCTCCCACAACTCTAGATAGTTCCCCTTTAGTTCTTTGGACTCTGCCGAGTCCCACCGGGACAGGCTGAAGACAGAATGTGCGGGTAAGCGAGGAGAAAGTCTCCCGGACTAGTGGGGCACCCCGCCCTAAACCACTCACACCTTCGATCTAACCAATTCAGCACTCCGCCCAGTACAGCGACGCTCCCCTTTTAAAGAAGCGCTCCGAGCTCCCTTTCCCTCGGCTCCCCCTTCCCTCCCACCCGGCGCCGCCGCCCCTGACGCACGCCAGCACCGCCCCCAAGGCATCGCCCTTTTAAGAGTCCCTTTCGCTCAGCTTCCCTAACGGGTCGTCCGAAGAAGAAGCCGGTACTGCTGGCGGGATTTAGCTTCGCTCTTTTAAAAACCCACCTTTTCCGACCCGAGCTGCCACACCACCGGCGTGGCCCTTTTAAGAAGCAAGCCCCGAGTGGATCGCGCGCGCCCCCTCCCCCCCATCCCGGAGGAGTCCGGCCCGGAAAGAAGCGCGAGTGGAGTCGCGCGCGGGCGCCGGAGACAGACGGACGGACGGACGGCGGCTGGTGGTCAGCCGGAGCGGCGGCGGCGGCGGCGCGCGGAGCGCAGGGCACAGTCTGTCTGGCGGCCGAGGGGGCTGGCTGCGGGAGCCGGCGGCGGCGGATGGGGACCTTGAGACGGCTGGTGGCTACGGAGGTGGCGGCGGCAGGGGCTGGGGCTGGAGGGCTGACAGGACAGCGGCAGCGGCGGCGGCGCTGGCGGCGGTGACGAACTCAGGCCCCGGCAGCAGCGACAAGGTGGCTGGGGCTGGCGGCGGCGGCGGCCGGAGCCAGAAGCCCGCGGGGTCGTGAGGGCGCCAGGCCGCCCCCCAGTGCAGTCCGGCCCCACGCCTCCGAGTCCTCGCCAGCCCTCCGGGGCCCCCAGCAGCCGGGGCCGTGGAGCACCGGGGCAAAGGCCGGGGCCCCCCCATGAAGGAGCGCGACTCGGCCCTGGCCGAGCGGGGCAAGCCGGCCACCTACACCGGGGACAAGAAGGCGAAGATGGCGGCCAAGACCAACAAGAAGTGGGTCCGGCTCGCCACCGTGTTCGCCTACGTGCTGTCCGTGTCCCTGGCTGCCATCGTGCTCGCCGTCTACTATAGCCTCATCTGGCAGCCGGTGGGGGCCGGCACCTCGGGGGCTCCCGGCGGCGGCCCGCCTCCCGGCCCCTCCAACGCCACGGCCACAGCCACGGCGCCGGCTGGGACCCCGGGGGGGAGCGACTGGGGGCTCCAACGCCACAGCCCCCACGAGGATCGAGGCGCCGCAGGACGCGCCCCCGCTGCAGAGCTCCGGGACCACGGCCCGGCCGCCCGGCCGGTCCGGGGAGCAGCGGCGGCGGCGGGAGCCGGAGGAGGAAGCGCCGGCGGCGGCACCCGGGAGTCGCTGAAGCCGCTTTGGATGGGGGTGGGGGGCGGCTGGGAACCCGTCCCTGGCCTTCCCCAACCCCGGGGGGCAGGACTTTGCAGCCGCCGGTGCGGGGCAGGGAGAGTCGGCAGGGGGTATGGACCCCCAGCCGCGGCAGCCAGCGGCCCCGAGTCCTATGCGCCGACAGTCCCCGGGCCCGATCAGCTTCGGAGAGAGGGACCAAGATTCGCCGCTAGCTTTCGGTTCCGTCCTCGGAGGACCGTGATGCACCAGGGCCGGAGCCAGGGGGGATGGTTGGGTGGGGGTGGGAAGATTCCCAGTCCCGAACCCTCCTTGGCTCTCTCTTGAGTATCCTTCAGGGGGAAGGGGTGTCCCGGACTTTCCCATTCCCCGCCCCAACTCAGGGCTTGGAGGGAGCTGTAGGGGCCCATTGTAATAAGCTGAAGCTCTCACAAAAGTGGGGAGCACAAGTAGTGGAGCTCAGGTGTCAACCTAGTTGCTGTGGCCACAGATGCATTTAATTTATAGATTCGTGTATATAGTTGTTGACATATGCACTTAGAAGCTATAATTATATAGAACTATATATATCCATCCACACCCTGGATAGCTACTGATTGGTGTGTCAAGCAAGGACTATCGCCCAGAAAATGCTGCCCCCCAAGTGCAGCTAGTCAGGAGGGCACAGCACCTTTAGTCATGAAATTGGTTTGTTCATCACCCTCTTCCTTCATCCTCTTCCAGTTACACGAAGATAGATTGATTTGTGACATCCTTAAACCAATAACATTTGTTGTTGGATTAATTTTTAGACTTGTTGACATGACAGTGAAAAAACCTCAGGAGGAATAGAAGCAGTTTTTTGGGAGAGTGGGAAATGTAATGACATCCCCACCCTCCCGAGATGCTTCCTGTTGCATCTCCAATTATCTGGACTGGAGCCAGGATAGAAGGAAGGGAAAGAGCAAGGCCTCTCTGTGCTTTATTCTTAACCTTCCTATTACAGGGGTGGGTTAGGGAAAAGTGAGCAAATAGAGGGCCTGGCAAGAATTTTTATGCCTTTTTGCTGCCCTTCAAGACCTTGGCATTACTCCAGTAATCACACTCTTATCAAGCTTAGACTTTCCTCCCTTTTGATCCTGTAGTGAAAGCCTAACCCTCTCTTAGGGACTAAATCTGTTCTGGTGAAATAAGAGCCTCGTCACCAGTTATCTGGTTTAGGAGCTGTACCACAGAATCCGAAGGGTTGCGGAGGTGGGCTTCAAACTTGTAATTGTGTTTAGGCACAAATAGCTTTTGATAGCCAGCAAACAGAAAAAATCATGTGAAAGGTAAATTGATGTGTTTTTCTCTCTCCTGATGAAGTCTCTATTATGCAGCATATATTTTTTATTGTGGGGTTAAGAAACAAAGGAAAATGACATATGGCTTAGGAGGAGAAGGAGTAATTCTTTGTATTTGGATTCCATTTCTCTCTGCCATTAGCTGTAGCCAAGCACTTGCAGTGCAGTGACAGGAGAGTAAACCCCTTAGTATTTCCTTTTTGGGAAAATATGGCACTTTAAGGGAAAAAAAAAGCAAAAAAAAAACTTTTCCACCTGCGTGTCCTGAAATGGTTCATCTCTGCTGTTTCTGGCCTAGTCTTTAGCCAGCTGCAATTCAAGTTTACCAGAGAGGAGCTATGCTTTAAGCCATTGTCCTGTGTGGGCCAAGATAAATAGCATCAGAGCTGTCATAGCCTAGGGACAGGCCAGTAGCACTCTGAGTAGTACTGGCTAGAGGATTTCTTAGCTACTGGCTACAGTCATTAGAAAGTCAATGGGGCCTTTTTCTTTTTTTCCCAGTATGGAGCGTGGTGGGGGGAAAAAACACCGTGAAATAATCACCTTTATTACTTCAATAATAGCCTGCAATTTATATTTACTGTGTGAATTTTTAGTCCTACATTTTAATAATTTGTAAGTTTGTCTGTTATCTCAAGACCTTTTGAACAGGAGACCATCTGGAACTCCCCAGCATTCCGGGACTATCTTAATCCACCTTGGGATCAAAGAATCTAGCAAGACCATTCTAATGTCCAACTGCTGCCCCACTAACTCTCTAAAGCCTTCACTGGAAATGGGACATTAGCTCCAGCTCTAAGTGTGAACATGCTCAGAGACCTTATTTATAATTCAGCCATTTAAGATATACCTGTACTCAAAAGTCCTGTATATTTTTTAAAAGTTTTATTTTTCAGGTGAACAAAAATACATTCTAAGAACTCTGCCTAAACCTGTGTAAGAATGTTATTAAATTTATTTTCTCAGATAACTTGGAGAGAAAAGGGTGGGGACCAGGAGAAAAAGTATCTTCAGATGAAGTGAGCCAGTACAGAACAGTTTTGAAAGGATTGGGTAGGGGGAGTAATCTGAGGGCTATGGCTGGATTGGTTAATACAGGGAGGAATAATTTCACTTTAGACTTGATGCATTCTTAAAACCCTAGGAATTAGTTGCATATCCCCAACAAACATAAATGTCTTCTGCTGTCCTAACTCAGCCAGGGTGCCCAAGCTTCAGTGGAAACTCTCAGTAGTAACTGCTATATTTTAATGATGAGGTTGAGAGATGACAGTATGCTTGAAGAGCTGATAGTTGAAGTAAGGCTTTAATTCTGATACCATTACTGCTTTCTTCTCTTTTAAAGCCTTATTTCTCATGGTTTTTCTCAAGAGGTTCCAAAGGCGCAGACTTAGAAACCTATTGACCCTGCAGGGCAATCCTGGCCTGGGTCATGGTAAGGTGCCACTTCATGGCTTTAGCTTCAAGGGGGGGAAGGGAGAAAAGGAAACATTCCAACAAGGGAAGGAGGGAGTGCCAACTTCATAAACCTTAAATGGCAGTTTTTGAAAGGCAGGGTAAAAAGGTACAAACATAAGGGATTAGGCATGCAGCAAAGTATAGGGGAAGCAATTCAAATCAACCCATTGTTATCAAAATGCTGCCCTGTACAAATGTGGAGCTAGGAGCCAATGTTAGATGGGGCCCCCTGAGGCCAGTGCTTCACAAGAGCTGCTGGGGGGGCAGCTGCTGGGCTTTGACATAACCTTGTAGTCTGCGGGAAAGCTTGGAAAAGGTCCGCCCCGCTTTTATTCCCCTCTTCAACCCACACAATAGCATTTTGTTAGAGGGCTGAGTAAGGCAGAGCAAAGGAGGAGTGAAAGAGTTACATAGTTCTTTCAGTCAGCCCCTTCACTCTCTCTCTCTCTCTCTCTCTCTCTCTCTCTCTCTCTTCTCTCTCTCTCTCTCTCTCTCTCTCTCTCTCGATAGTTACATGTTGCTTCTACAGCTGCACACAGCTTCACACATTGTGGCACATGACAGCAGTCTGTACTGTGCGATACGCAGGGCCCTGCTGTCTAATTAGAAAGGAACTATTCCACCAAGACAAGGCCCAGTTGGCTGGGGAGTATTGAATGGAAATAGCTTATTTTCAGAGGTTGGAATCTTAGTTGCAGAAATGCCCATTAACTCTCAAGCCAGCGGAGAAAGGTTTAAGCCAAGAATTTGGCTTTCTTTTTGAGTCTACTTTGTACCTGAAATACTGGGATTGTGTGTGTGTGGTGTGTGTGTGTGTTTTAAGTTATTGCTATGGTTTTATTCTTAGGCATTCAGAAAAAAAAAATTTTTAAAGTGAGATTTTGGTCAGATATTTCCCTGAGGTGCTACTGCTGTGAGTCTCTGTTCTGAAAATTTTCCTCTATTGATATTGAAGTAAAGAAAAGTATTTCTCTGAAGGATTTACAGAGTGCTACTATAGCAAAATCCCTTCTTCCTAAAAATCCTATAGTGTTATATACCATGAAGCTGCTGCTCTGGAAGCTTTTTCACCTAGTTTTTTTTTAATTGGTTTTTTTATTTCCACCAGCAGATTCTCAAATAGTGAGCCCTTCACTTAAGTGTTTATTTCACTCACCATATTTTGAAATCTCATGTAGGACTAGGGGAAGTGACTTGTTTCCTCTAGAGAAACCAGAAGGATAGAACCTGAATTTTGGAACTACTGATGCCACTTAGAATTAATGCCTTCCCCACCCCCTCCGAGTATGGAGGTATTTCTAAATTGCTACTCTGTGACAAAAGAATCAGCCATACCTATCATATTGGCTGCTACAACAGCTCAGTTACATTTGGCAAAATGTAACTGGCTTTGGGGGTGTGAATAACACATCCTGTGATCTCTGAGAATAAGTTATTGAGGGCATATTGATTTCCTTTTCCAAGCCCAGAACTTCCTAATTTATTTTAACATCTAGGGCATGCAGGTGTACCTGAAATTCTTCTGGACTAGAGGGGCCAAGACACTTCAAATAGCCCTCTGGTTTTGCTCAGGCAGCAGATGGGAATTCCTATATATTGTTATGTTGTAGAAATACAGAATTACTATGAATATTAAATGAACTTGCACAGTCTTAAAAGGGACAGATTTTTAAATTTTCCAAGAGGACAGTTTGGATTGCATCTACTCAATTTCTGATTATGTTTTTTTGTTTTCTTTCTTGGAATGTGCTCATCTCATTTCAGACAACTCCATTACTGTGCTAAGTAGGGAAAAGGTATGTGCTGGAATAGTGAGAACACCACACTGGAAGCTAAGTGACCTAGGTTTTAGTCATAGCTTTTCTATTAACTGTGTGACCTCAGGCAAGTCACTTAAACCTTCTAACCATTCTTAGTTTCCTTTCCAGGCAAGATAACATAGTAAGTATATAATCAATGTTTCTCTAACTTTTTTTTTTACTTAACTGTAATAACATGAGATAGGTGGATGAGGTGATTTTTAAAATCCCCCTTCTAATTCTAAAATCCCATGACTATTCTCTTCCCACATGCATCACTTTATAAAGCTGGATCCACTGCCCTCTCTGCCCAGGCCTCTGTTTGCTTGTTGGTATATTAAGAATACCTGCTCCCTCTGCAGTTTTTCAGTTACATCTGTTTCATTTGCTGACACAGCCCCTGGTTTGCTGTTGCCACTGGTGCAATGCTTTTGTTCTTGCCAGTAGGTAAAAAATAGGGTTCTCTTTGGTCACATGTCCCTTTTCCTAATAGTCACCTCGACTCAAGTAC